CCCCAAAACCCCAAAACCCCGTTGCGCTAAAGAGAAGAATTTTTTAATTGGCTAATAATTAGAATAAAACGCATTAGAAATAGGATTTTTATCATGTAGCCATATTTTCCTCCAATATATCCTCAAGTTAGTTTAAGTAAACCTTCAGTTATAAAGCCAACAATTAAGCGAAATAGAAGTATAAATGGAAAGGGTAAATTTGAATGCCCACATTGTTCTCGTAGATGCCAATCTTAACATGCAATGGATAATCATGTTCGAGTTCACACAGGTGAAAAGCCATTTCCTTGTCTTGTTCCAGGATGCGATAAATTCTTTAAATAAAAAAGCTAATAATACTCTCATATGCGTAATTCTCATAATTATAACACAGATTTACTTAAGAACGCAAAAATTCCAGGAAGTAGTGGGCCATAGGTGTTCCTTAACCCTAATTCCAATAACACTGGTGCTAATCCAAACGCAGATACAAATATGCAGTCTAATCCAAGCAATCTTATGAATAATTCCTATTCACTAGGATTAGATCCAAATAAAATAGCAATTGATGAGTAATTCCAAATGAAAACCTTTTAGAAAGTAACAGTGAAAAAAGAGGATGATCTAGTATCAAAGGTCTACTAAGCGATTAAAAAAAGAACTAAAGAAAAATATATAAAATAAAAAGAAAATGAAGATATTTTATAATCTGAAGGAGAAAATGAAGACTCAATGATTAATAACGATATAGTGCATTCTGAATCTTACATCATGCAACCCTAATACAATGAAGAGCTACCTCAATATATGATTCAGTAATAGAATAATTAGTAACAATTACAGCAATAGGAATAGCAAAATGGAACTCCTATAACAAACTCATTAAATTACTTCTAGCAAAAGTAAAATGATAATGCTAATGTATGTAGCAACAATATGAATTATTAATAACACTAGCAGTTAATTAAAATAGAATAAATGATGCAATAAAATACTAATGCTCATGCTTAACATAATCAGTATAATTACAATACGCAACAATAGTAGTATTAATAGCACATTTAATAGTAGAAATAATGCAATAAGTAAATAACAAGTGATCACATTGAAGAAAATAAGAATAACTTATAATGCCAACTAGATAAGCTGAGTATAGAAGAGTTATAATCTTAATTGATATTCCCTAACAATATCATGGAGAATTATTAGAAATAATTGCAAGATATTAAATTACTCAATGATGTTAATATGTTGAATGGCATGCAGTGGCAATTTGATTATAATTACTATAGAAATATTGAGAATATTTAAAAGTAGCATTCTCAATAATAACAATAATTTCAAATTATCTAGACTAATATTTGATTAATTAATTACAAAATTGAAATTTAAAAATCTAAATTGGAGTTTTTTTGTTGATAGATGGGGTTTTGGGGTTTTGGGGTTTTGGGGTTTTGGGG